TCTTAAAGAAGTAGTTACAGGTCTGTGAGAGCCAGACATCTTGCTTGTTTGTAGGTGACCTGTTCTTGTGTTGCTATGATCAGTGCCTCAGTGCTGTCCTTTAGTCCAGCCCGTTCCAGCCATTGGTAGGATTTCCCAATGTCAGCCACCTCCACTGTCTGCCAGTGGTACATCCCATGCAGGGGTTTGTCTTGCCATTGCACTTCCTCCATTTGAACTTCCTCCCATGTCTGCTGCTGCCTCAGGCATTCTCTCAACAGCTCATCTTTGGGTGACATCTTACTGATGTACCCCTGGATGCTCTGGGTTTCATCCAGGACAGTGGCTGTGACACTCACCAGACCCTGCCTGCCCTCTTTCTGACTGGTGTACAATCTCTGGGTGTTGGACTTGGGGGTGGAAGCCTTCATACATTGTGAGGAGCTTCCAGGTCTTCACATCAGCAGCCTCCAAGTCCTCCTTTGGCCAGCTCACTATGCCAGCAGGGTATCTGATGACTGGCGGGGCATATATGTTGATGGCATGAATCTTGTTCTTCCCATTGAGCTGGCTCTTCAGGACCTGTCTTATCCTTTGGTGGTACTTGGATGTTGCTGTTTTCCTTGCCGCCTCATTGTGGTTCCCATGTGACTGTGAGATACCAAGGTACTTGTAGCTGGTCTCTATGTCTGCTATGTGGCCCACTTGTAGTTCCACCCCATCAGTCTTAACTATCTTCCCTCTCTTCACTACCATCTGGCCACACTTCTCCAGTCTGAATGACATCCCAATATTCTCACTGTAGACCCGTGTCAGGTGGATCAGTGAGTGGATGTTTTGTTCATTCTTAGCATACAGCTTGATGTGGTCCATGTAGAGGAGGTGACTGATGGTGGTTCCACTCTTGAACTTGTACCCATATCCAGTCCTTATGATTATCTGGCTGAGGGGGTTCAAGCTACGCAGAACAGCAGCAGGGACAGTGCATCACCTTGGTATATGCTGCACTTGATGGCCACTTGTGTGAGCTGTCTTGAGTTGACTTCCAATGTTGTCTTCCACAGTCCCATTGAGTTCTTGAGGAAGGTCTTTAGTGTCGACTTTGTATAGCGCCAGGCATTCACAGTTCCATGTGTGTAGCACTGAGTTGTAGGTTTTCCTGTAGTCAATCCAGGCTATCCTCAGATTGGTCTGTCTAGACCTTGAGTCTCATGTGACCCCTCTATCTCTGAGCAGCTGGTGTTTTGAGCCTCTGGTGTTGTTCCCAGTTCCCTTCTGAGCTGTGCCTATGCACTGGCCCATATGGTCCTGTAGCTTGGTGGCTATGATGGCTGATAGAACTTTCTATGTTGTGGGGAGGCAGGTTATTGGCTGGTAGTTGGATGGTGCTGTTGCCTTGTGGGGGTCTTTCAAGACCAGCAATGTCTTTCCTTGCCAGTCTGGGTGGGAGCCTGCTGCTAGTAGCTGGTTCATCTGTGCTGCTAGGTGTTCATGCACTGCTGTTAGTTTCTTTAGCCAGTAGG